TTGCCATGGTGGCTGCCATAGTGGATGCAAACATAGGAACATTGGGAGGATGAGGATCGAGGTGATCCGGTTTAACATTGTACTACGAAACCTGGAGTTCAGGAGCCCTGGTGGTGGAGTGGTTTTGCGTTGGTTGCTAGCCATGATGAGGTTAACAGTTTGAAACCACCAGCCGCTCTGCAGGGGAAATGCGGGGATTTCTACTCCTGTGACCAGTTACAGTGTCAGAAACTCAAAGGGCAGTTCTGCCCTGTCCTATACAGTCACTGTGAGTAGGATGCGGTTCGATGGCGTGAGTTTGGAGTTTTGAAAGAGTTCCAGGTTCAGAAACGTACAGGGGTCATCGTACCTTGCCCTATAGGGTTGCCGCTGTGAGTCCGCATCTACTCGGTGGCAGTGAGATTGGTTTGGATTGGTGGTGTAGCAAGTTACTCATTGAAGTACTAATCACTCAGTGGTTTGAACCTACCAGCTGTTAGAATGGAGCCTTATTTATCCTGAGAATGCTGCCTACTCCTGTCAGGAGTTTTTAAGTCTCAGAAAGCTCAAGGGGCAGCCCTTCTTTGCCCAGTGAGGTCCCCGAGTCGCTGTGAGATGGCCGTGGGTCTTATACTTGGGGGTGCTTAGTCAGAGCCCACTCAATAGCAATGAACAACACTTTTGTCTGTGAAAGAAATTAGCCATTTTCCCAGTGGTGTGTTTTGTGGTGTGGCTACGCTTTTCTTTTGTCCTTACCACAGAAGCTTTGGGAGATAGACGCTCATGGCTTGTCAGTTTTGTAGTAAGCTTAAGAGGGGGTTTCTGGCCTCCAAGATGATTTTTGAATGCGGCTGAATTAAAATGAAATGGCAACCTTCTTGTCCCTAACCTGCAGAAGAGAAGTGTCTAGCGAAGACCGTACCAACAGCATCTCTTGGTCGCTGAACAAGGCTTCCATCACAGCTGGGAGCTGTGGCCCCTGGGACTAATTATTTCAGAAAAGGTCAAAGTAAGACCTGAAAGACAGAAGACCAAAACTCAGATGATGTTGTAAGCACATAAACAGACGCACACACAAATCTATATATCAAAACTCGTTGGAGGGGGAAAGGAAGACCCTTGACAAGATGGATTGACAGAGTTGCTGCAGCAATGTGCTCAGACACAGCAACCATCGGGAGAGTGGAGCAGGCCCAGGAGGGGGTTCACCCTGTTGTACGTCGGGTCACGCTGAGTCAAACTTGATTGGGTGATCCAATGAGTTTGGTGCTGGAATCCCTTACCTGCTCGAATCCATGACCACTGCTGTGGTAGAGCATGCACGAGTTAAGTGGACATGGTCCCTCAAGCCAACTCCCTTATCTCCCTTCTCATGCAGCCGGATATTCTGGAAGCTCCTTCTTTCACAGGTACATTTCAGTAAAGAAC